AGACAGGAACTGTAGTTTTATCAAAATGTTGTGTAAATGTGTGTCTTTTGGAGGGCTTTAAACAGTTTGTGATCAGAAGCCTCTGTATTCATAATCTGGGCCCGGTTGCATATTAAAAAATACTGCCATGACATCATCAAAAGACAAATCTACTTATTTTCTTCCTTCTTCCATTTTTTTTTTTCCATCTGTGCTTCCATCACTATGTGACCTTTAGGATTTTGTTCAACCTTATTGGTGTTCAATGTGAGCATCTGCTGGTGTCAGACTCTGTTCACCTGGGTAAGTATAACATTAGCAAGAAATGTGCGGGTCCATAACACTTGGGAATAAATAAGGCAACAATGATCACATTCCAAGTAAGCTCTTCAATGTGAATATTGCATACAGTTATATGGGACTAGCGATATATTCTTCCTTTCTTCTGATGATTTTGCCCATGTTAATGGCCACCACTTTTTATACTGTAAACATTAAATTTGAATCAATTCAAACTGGAAGGACATCAAATGCTTTCTCCGTCATGCCCAGGTTCAATTTTGTTAATGTTAGCATTGAATAAACATGATTTTTTTATATATATATATATATATATATATATATATATATATATATAAAAGTTAACAGACATAGTTTGATTTTTATGCTTGACTTTATTTGTACAGATTCACATTGCAAAATTGACGGTGTCATGTCAATGTGTTACTGGTAGTCAGCACAGAGATTCTGTTGTTTTCATTCATTTGTTCTGTTTGTGGTGCTGAGTCTTGTGAAATAAATCAGTTTAATGTTTCATTGATTAATAGCATAGTGGCATGTTTTTCTCTGAGTGTTTGAACTCATCGGACAGATCCACTTTGCATGCGGAGTCCTCACGTTGCACTTGTGAGTACTGTTATCAGTATTGTATAGATTAATGCAGAGGGATAACCATGTGTGACTGTCTGCTGTGCTGTGTGAGCCTGAGCTGAGGAGTGTTCCTCTTTTCTGTTGGTGGAGATGGGACCCATCCATCAGCTGAAGGAGCAGAATAACCAAGAGTGACATTCAATTACAGTATGCAAATGTGTGTTCTTTATTTATTTATCAAGGCTTCACCATTCATTTACTCAATTAACTATTTTGGACATGCACTATCATGAGGAGATTGCAATATGCTTTCCAGTAACAACCAATAATGAAATGTATTATTAGCAATAACATTAATGGAACAAGTGAAGTGAGACTCCTCATCACCGTTGGATGAATGACAAATTAACTACAATAAAGGGAAAAATATACAACAAGGACTTGCAACATGATACCTGTTTGACATTTAGGGCCCTATATACAAAGATTGCAAATTAGGAGCAAAACAAAAAAAATCCATGTGCAATAAGTGGGCATGTCACACGCAATCTACAAATATGCACATGTTATTGATTGGATGCGCAAAAGTGGTGCAGACCTCCTCTTTTCATGAGGATTTTGCATGTGCTACTAGCTGTCACCATGGAGGGTGTTGGGAAGTGGAATGGCCATAAAATAATAATAAAGTGGAAAGTTACTGTGCTGGAACTATGAAAAGAAAAACATCAATAATACATTTCATGTAAATAGATTTATAATGTGGTACAATGCAACAGTGATTAATCAAAATAAATCTGGAAACAGCTGATTTAACACCAGTAACAGTCCACCTGAACCAATCCTTTCCAATGTGTTTCCTGGCAAAAAAAAAAAAAAAAAGATCTTTGCTTTCCTCACTGTCACCCTGCCCCAAAGCCAAAAATGAACAATGTGAATAATGAAAACCCTGATCTTGAAGTCTACCTGCATCTCCACAGTGTCTGAGTGGCTCCATTACAGAATGAAAAGTGAATCTCTTTTGTTGCTTCCAGATTTGCCCATTATTAAGGAAACCCATTAAACGACAGAAGGTGACTTTTCCTTTCACAACAATGACACATGAAAAGAGACCACTGTCGGGGTGGAGATGGAAGCAACTGATGGGGCTTGGGAGGGGGTTCTGACCCAAGAGGAAAGGGGTTATTGATTGACTGAGCCAGCACTGCGTCCTGTGCTCTCTGTCAATCACCTGGAGACCCGTTTCTTTGCTGCTCTTTTTTCTTCTGGCCACGAGTGAACTCTTGTTTCCCAAATGCTACTGTGTCCTAATTTAACTTCATTACTGTGTGGCTGACATCTAGGCAACAAGGGGGGAACAAACTGTATCTTTCAACCCCGCATGTTTGCAATCCACTGGATGAGCGACCTTTTCTATCGCCATCCATCCACAGCTCTCCTCATCTTCTCTTTGCCTTCATTCGAGTTCCCTGTGGTTAGTCTGTCACTGTCTTTCTTATCCTTGTGCTCTCCCCATGGTGCCCACAAATGCAGCTCAGCAGCATTGATAATGGCCTGACAGACCACAGTGGTGGACTTGCATCGGCTCCTCAGCCCCGTCCATTCTTCCTCAAACCTGACGCCTTGCCTTTGTCACCAAGGTCACCTTGCTGCCTGTCGGCTCAGTGAGAGAGGCTGTCAGGCTGAAAATGGGAGCCATTCACCTGCCTCCTTTAGTCTTTCTACTGAGGCTGCTTACACTTAGTGTGTTCAAACTCTGTGAGTAGGTTGTAGACCAAGTAACAAATGATATATCTTAAAACAACTTCAATCCAAAGGGCAACGTGAGCAATTCCACAAACTTTTAAGCTATCATCATGTTTGCACAGTGCAGCTATTTGAAGAGAGACAGATGATTATTTACATGGAAAACAGAAGTAGCAGGCAGTTTGGCTCAAGGACTGCTATAAAGTCGTGACATGCATCTTAAAATAACATAAATCCCAGTTTAATCATGTTTTCTGCTAGTCAGAAAATCAGAGGCCCAGAGTTAGGGGTAGGGTTATGCTAAAAGATTTCTCGTTGACACTACTATTCAGATTTTCTCTGTTAACATGATTTATTCTTATTTTATTTATTGAAATACTAAATTAACATATTCACTGCCTGATCTCATTCACTCTGTGTGTGCAAGATTGAAATGAGATACTTATTAGATTGACTTTGGCACCAGTACTCATTGTTCCATTATTGCTTCTGACAAGGTGATGATATAAATGTTTCTAAAAGAGTGCTGACTAGAGTGCTGAATATGTACTTTAGGAACGAGGCACTAAACGTTGCTTGTATAGCTCTAACCAATACAACAGCTTATGTTAATATGTGCACATGAATAAATCAGCACTTAATTTATCTGAAAATCTCCAACTCTATCATATGAAGTTTTATATTTTTTTATTTATTTTACCACATTTTGTAAGTCACTTCAAAATTAGACAAATGTAACGTAGGTAAATGCAAAATAATCAAGTGATATTTTTCCATATCAGGGCTAAAATTTGCATTTGGCTCATTCTTGTTTGCTGAATGATTTTCCTTCATTAGCTTCTTGTTTAAGGTTATGGTACATAATCTCAAAAGTCCAAACTCTAATTAGACAGTGACCAACTCCTGCTGGTCAAGGGTGTGGGTGGTGAAGTCGACCTCAACTTTTCAAATATGTTAAATCATGATTTACTTATTCACAAAGTTTGTGCTTGTTTCATTATCTTTTTCCATAAAATACAAAAAAAAAAGAAAAAAAAAAGTAAAAAAATCTTTATTTGAGACCTGCATTTTGTATTTATCCAGGTTATCTTTGTCTAAGACCAAAATAACTTGATTTGAAACATTTAAGGGGTGCAAAATAACTCCTGGTGGGGAGTGATCATATTTTTAAAAATAATGTATGATCTGGGTTTTAATTTAAACATATTGATTGAAGCAGGTTCTTTACTCTAACCTAAAACGTATTAATTCCTTTCGCTGATATTCCATCCTGTAATAATTGAGCAGCTGGCTCTCCTGACCTGTATCATTCATTTCTGTAGCTGCTTTTTAGTTTCACCAGTATAGAGGTTTAAACACTAGACATTTCCATCCAATATGTGTCTGAGAACCTCAGGAGATCTCTATGCACAACATTCAGTTGAATTTCAAACCTAACAACACTCTCAGACAGACTGGTTCACCCACAAGGATACAAAACAGCCAAACACAGGCTTAGAGTGCCTGTACACACAGTATAGTGCTTCAAAAAGTGTTTGAAACTCTATGTTGGAGAAGCTAGCCAGTAGCTACAAAAATGCATGGTACTATATAGAAGAGCAAGCGCATCAGGTCAAGAGGGGTTCAGTGGTTCATGCAGTGCTATTTTCTTAATCTTAACTTGTATCAACAACCAAATCAGAAAAATTACAAGAGAGGGATATATCAGACCTCCCAGTCCCTCAAACCCATTAATTCAGAAAACCTAGTCAAAGCCTGACTCAGTCGTTTTCCATCACAGCAGAACGCTCCTCAGCTGGTGATTAGATGCAACTGATTATCCCCAGAAGAAAAGCAGGACAGGATGTCCTCTGAAGACGGACCGTATCGTGATTTGCCCAGTCTCTTGGAACTTGTCATTAACCCAGTTCCTGTTGGTCAGTTCAACATTATTCTCTCCACCTTCTGCTTTAGTTCACTTATGATCACTACTGTCTCCAGAAACCATCATGAGGAGATCTCACTTTTTGTTTTTACAAGACTCTCTTGTTTTCTTTAGTTGCCCCTGGCCACAAAAACATAACCCAGATATGAACTGGTCTGACTCACATAGTGCATCCTGCAGTCCATATACAGTAAGTGAGACTCAAATCCTGATCTGTCTCAAGTTCCACCAGAATGACATGATCTTCAATGTGTTTTTAGTCATTACTGCCACATGGTCTTTATGACTGCTCTATTGATCTTCTTCCAGGTGTCATTCACTGAACTGCTGTCAAACTCAATTCTGTGAACAGTTTGAACGATCAACTATATCCACTACAGAAAGCCCACTCTGTTAATATTAGTTCATTATTAATCATCATCATCATCATAACTATGATTAACATTTCATTTCTTATGTTTCAAAAGCAACTCAAGATGTGGGTTTTTAATGTAGAGCTAAAGGAATTCGGTGTTTCAGCTATTTTGCAGTTTTCTGGAAGTTTGTTTCAGATTTGTGGCGCATAGAAGTTGAATGCTAGTACCATCCTGGAACCCAGTACCAAAATGTGCAGAACATATGAACATAAAATAGTAAATCATTCCCATGTCAGTGCATATTGCAAAACAATGATCTGAAAGAGATTCAGACCATCAAGACTAGCAGTGTCTTTCAGAAACATCTGACATGTAACAAGCCAAAGAATTGCAGGACGGTCCAGTGGGTCAATGATGTATATGTGGTGGTTTAAACAATGACTTATGAGCTTTGAATTACCAGTTTTACTCTTAACTGAAGAAGCAATTTGGACAAAAAAAAAAAAAAATAACAACAAAATAATCATGTTTACATAAAAAAGACCTGTATTATTTTTTTTCTGACATCCCTTAGCTACATTTGACTAATCAGGAGCTTTTAATTAGATTATAATTCTAACTTAAGTACTAAAAAGCAAATGTTGGAATAGTTGTCCACTTGTGCCCTTTTGAAGAATAGAAGTTTTCTTCTTTTAAATCACATTTTTTTCAAGTCTGTCGAACTTTTTCTTTCCATGCCGTTACTGCTCTCCTATGATTCAACACATATTTCACTCAGCAGTGACTTGGTCATATCCTACTGATTCATATGTTAATAAGTTTCTAAGACAACCCCCCATGGCTCGCAGGCAGAGCTTGAAATATTCCTTTCATTTTTCTCCTTCATTCGCAGCAACAGCACTCGCTGTGAAAAGCAGAGCTTTATCACTCCTCCAGCCCACCGGATTTTGTTGACCTATCTTGTTTTTTCCCCTGCAGTGGGAAAGGCATTTCTGGGATAAACAATCCACTGAAATGTCACCAGATTCTATGGAGTCCAAGAGAGCTGTGCCGTCAAGCTGGAGGGACAGTCGCGTTGTCATCAGCCATTAGGCAGAATTTCATGTCTTATTATGGTGCGACAACAATGTATAAGACCAAAAATATCATTCTCAGATGGTGGGCAATGAGACATTTCATGTTGATGCTCTACAGGGAACATCACAACACCGTCTAATTCCCTAAATTCATAAATATAATGAAGAGACACTTTTGTGCAAACTGCAGTGGTGATTATGTTGTTTAAATGATGTCAAGACAAGTCCTCTTTCATTCTTTATTATTTTTATTTATTTTGCAGAAAAATAATCTCAAACTGAAACCTGTAAATAAAATTTCAACCTTTAAGTAACTATTTAGCAGGATACAAAAATGCTGTTTTCAGATTCTTTTTTCAAAATCCCTTGTGTCACGCATGCTGGCATCCTTACATTTAACACTTTGAACAACTCCAAGTTGCCAAAAGAAAAGCACTTACTCATGTCCTCTGACTTTTCACAGTGTTCTCTGTTACAGAGAGGAGGATCTTTGACCATTCCTCTTTGCACATTCTCTGAAAATCATCCAGAGTTACAGGTTTTCACTCACGCACTCCTTTCTTCTGTTCACCTCACATATTTTTAAAAGGATTAAGGTCTGTGGACTTGGATGACCTCAGAAGGTGTGTTTATGTTTTTTGTTTGTTTGTTTGTTTGTTTGTTTGTTTGTTTGTTTTAGGAAACATTTCTGATTAAAAATGTCTAAGAGGTTTAAGTATAAGATACATTACTGTCATCATGTTGTTCAATTAATTTGTGATGCAGAGAAACTCCACCTCCAAAAGAATATTAACAATCTATGACTTCTTGTTTCCCTGTAGTATTAATATGATCAAAGGGTCATTTCTATTGGTCACTCTCCAAACTAGGAAATAAAAGAGAACAATCCATTCAAGTAAAGCAGATTAAGGTTCAATAAGGTTTTATAGCATAGTTTTTTTTTGTTTTTTTTTATCATAGCCTGGTTTTGTGTGTGGCACTAATGGGAAAAAAAGTACTGGTCGTCTCTGTGGTACTAACAGAATGCTTCAAATGGAAACTAATGGTAACCTCAATGGTACTTACTTGATTTTCTTGGAAAGTTCTTTTTTTCTAAGAATATGATAAATATTTTGTATTTGCAACGTTGTTTGTTGAATTTTGTAACCTTGTTGGAATTTCTGCTTTGTGTGTGTGTTTAATTAAATTTCTACAACACAAGTAAGTGTGCAATTTTTTTTTTTTTAATTTAGCATATTTTAAAAGGTGAGTACCTAATTTTAAACAGAATATACTCACACATAATACAAATAATTATGTCCCTTGAATAGAAAGTAACCTGATGTTCAGACCAAGAGGCAGGAGGTGGCCTGTACATGAGTTTTACCCCTTTTAATTTCCTGCTGGTTTACTGGCAGATCTCTCTATCTGTGTATGGTAAACCCATTGGTGTGCAGTGCACTGGGGTATTTTATCATCTGCTGTAGCCATCCCAAAGCAACAGAGCAACTGGTCCTCATGGTGAGAGACTGTCGGATTCTCACTGCAAACCAAATGAGGCTTTAAATGGGACTCTGCACATTCTGCATGTAATTGTAGCCCATCGTTAACCTTCCAATAGAGTTTTTATGCTAACTATTCTGTCCCAGTGCAATTTGGGAATCCAAAAGGAAAATTAATGAGGATGTTTGAATTCACAGAATGCCCATCTGGCTAGATGAAGAACAAAGGTTTTACACAAAACAATGGGTTACAGCTTAGCAACTAGAGAGTCGTCTGGTCTTTGAAGTTTTTAAGCAATTTTGAGGAGTACAGATGTTAAAATACTTAATGAATTTGATTGTGTTTTATTGATAGATGGATCTTAGACTTCCATTTTTCTTTAGGCACCTCCAATACGCTTTCCTTTGGGATTTTGATTTGAGTTGATTGAAACCATCTAAGTCTTCCCACACTCATTATCTGCATGATAATAATTTTTTTCTGCTGGTTTTTAGATACAGCAGGGAAATAAGAATGGAAAATTATCCCAAACAACTTAAAACTGCTTCTGAAATGACAAAAGAAGATTAACTACTGAAATGGACATTAATTAAGCTACAAGAAATTCTAGAAATTTTTTCTTTCATGAATGATATTAGACAAAAACCCTTCAAATAATAATAAAAAAAAACACAACGTTTGATAGATTTGTTTTCCTTATTTGATGGATTAAAGTTGAACCTTTCTGATGGTTCCTCTTTGGGGAAAGTTTAAGTTTGAGAGTGTAACAGAAAAGCAAAATAATAATAATAATAATAATAATAATAATAATAAAACAAGCTGGAAGAATTTGATATTTAGTGAAAACTGAAAATGGTGACACACTTTTTTCTCATACTTTTACCTGTTGCTTGAAAAAGTCAAATCGCTATATTTTTAAATGCATCTAATTCTGATGTTTAAAGTTCAATACCTGCAGCTGAAAATAAACAAGAAAGCAAAATATTTAAAACGTAGCTGTTTCTGCACAAATCTCCCTTGACTATTAACTTTAAAGAAAAGAAACGTAAAAGGAAAGAAAAAGTCAACACCCATGCCCTTTGTGGTTAACACTGATATAATTACCACTTAATTACCTCGGTTTGCCTGCATGACTCTCTTCATGTCTATCACTCTGGAGTTTTTAAAATGTCCCGTTGGAGTAACTGTTAAAGCTGTTATGTTTGCCAGTAGCCCTGTCAGCCTGTTTTAATATTCAATACATGACTGCTAATGTTAAAATACACAACAGAGCGGTTGCAATTCAACACATGCCGCTTAAATCCTGCAGCGATGTTCCTGTTGACTTTACTCCACTGTTGGCGTTGTCCTTGAAGTTAAGTCCTGTTTTTGTTTTTTTCCTTCATGCAGTCTCGGTCTGGCTGCAGCTTCACTGCCCTTAGCGACTAAGTGGTCAGAGGTGGGGTTAGTTTTATCTGAGGTCACCTCTCCACTATCTCAGCCTTGTGTTCCTCAGAGAAATGTTTGGATCTTGCAAAGAGCTACTCTACAGTTTTGATTAAAGCTTGCTCCTCCTTCACAGCTTCTCCTGGAGGGGAGAGGATAAACTGTCAGGATAAAAAGTAGCATTGTCCAAGGTTGGCAACAATGAATCTCATCAGACATACATGAACAGACTAAGCAAAGAATAACTGGATTTTCTTTCCACTATAACCCTGCAGCTACAACTGTGATCGAAATGGTGACCTTGATGCAGGGGCATTTACTGTTGAGTTTGGTGAGTGTATTTTAAGCTGCAGGACTATTTCTAAATGCCACGCTCAGATGCCAATCACACTGAAAATCAACTGAATTGCTATTCGAACAGCATAATGACTTGGTATTTGGATAAACTGTCCTTTTTTTAGACAATTGAAAATGCTGTAAGTTGAAGATGAAAATGGGGGTAATTCTCAACAAAACTTGCTCTGTATTTAAATCTTGAAGGGTCTCTATAAGTAATTTTCACCTAGCGTGTAAAAGAAGGGAAAAAGCTGTTTTTCTGTTACTGCAGGAGATTGTAGATCTAAAGTATGAACCCCCTTAATGCTGGTACAGCCAAGTTGCCAGTTTCACCAAATGCATGTGTTTAGTTCTGTATCTCTTTTTCCTCTAAAATTAAGGCTAATATTTTATGATTTAACAAAAAATGCTCATTAACATCTGTGCATATATAAAACACAAAATAGAAAAATTGTGGCATAAGTCATAGTCATGAGTGACACCTTCTGAAAGTGCTCATGTTCCTTGGTTTTTTTTTACAAATACTGTCTAAACTGAGGTGTGCATCTGAACTTTCTGACCCTGATCTTTTGGTAAATGTCTTTACCATCTTTGCAAATCTATCTGCAGACATACATTTTCCTTCAGCCTTCTGTGCAAAGTAAGCTAACTCCATCTGTGAACAACAATTTTCACATTTTCGTATTTACTTTTAGGACTGGACTTTGAATAGACCATTTAATCAAATGGATATACCTTTTCAAGATCATTCTTATGCTTTATATTTAATGTTTAATGCTCTGCTGGAACCTTTTATTCATTTTACCAGTAACTGATCAGCTTTCTTCTCCCTGCTAAAGAGGAATATTTGCACATAATGCTGCTGGCAGCAAGTTTCACCATGTGGATGCTGTGCTCAGCGTGATTATGCCACATGTAGCTACTTGTATTGAGGTAAAAAGTTCAACCTTGGTCTCATCTAGCCAGAGCGCTTTCTCCCATATCGACTATGTCCCTGTTGTGCCTTGTGGCAAATAGGACTGTCAAAAACTTTATTTCAACAATGACTTTCTTCTTGCCATTCTTCAAAAACCACAAAGACTTTTGGGATTTCCAACTCATATTTGTACTGTCAAGATTCTCTCACCCAAGATGTGGATGTCTGCAGCTCCTCTGGAGTTAACATTTGCCTTTTAGCTTATTACTGCTCTCTTTGTCCAGCCTGTCAGCTTAGATGGCTGGGTATGTTTTAGTTTGTGACTGTGCTGAACATGTTCCCTTTCCAGTTGATCGATTGAGAGGAATGACTTTTACCAGCTCTTCAACTTATGAAGGCAACTGGTTGCACTTTGTTTTATTTTGGGTATTAAGCCTTCTCTGCAGTGCCCAAACCGACAGCTTTCATCTATTTCCAACTTCCATGTAAGAAATCCTCAGAGCCTAGAAACAAACGCAGTTTATTCAATGAATCCGATCCAGGTGAAGCTTGAAAACTAATTTTTACCTCCAAAATTTTATTGGTCTTATGCAATGACCTCACTTCCTTTTTAAATTGTTATGTTTTCATTGATTTCATCCTTTGTGTTCTTATTGTTTTACGAGACTATTTTAATAGCTATGGTTTTGTTGAATCATTGCTCTGCAGCACTGGTGCAACTTTTGTTTGTTTTAGTGTCTGTTTGTATGAAATTGACATGAGCCGTCTGAATTGCTTTTAATTCACAAGCACTGGCATGAGATGAATTAGTCTGTGTCTCACAGCATCCCTGAAATATGAGTCACTGCAGAGAAATGAGCCTTTTTCTGGTCCTTTATGGATTGCCGGTCTTTACCACTCTAAATGCTGTTTCTGCCGCATATCTTTTAAGTTAATTAAATGCCAATGGTAAATAGTTTTAGTTTACCAATGATAAATGATCTCAGCACGTAAGCCGTTTACAAAGCCAAGGCTTTGGGTCGCTCAATACAGTGAGGGAAGCTTTTCTTGAACAGTACCCAGCATCTAAATGGCCAGTCTGGTCGAGTGCATCATTCCCATGTCAAGGAACAAACAAATAAGATGAAGTGCTTTCTCAAAGTCAATGTAAAGGACAACCACACTGGCTCCCAACAAACAATGATAGATGAGCAATACATGATGGTCTGGGCCACGAATGGAGGGAGTGTTCAATTAGTGGGAGCAGAAATGGCAGTTTAACGGTATGGCGAGAGAAGCTGGCAGGCATTAAGAGACGCTAAATTGAAAACGCATACGTCTCAGAAAGCTGACAAGCTCATTCCCTTGCCCAAATTGGTAGCAAATTTATGGTTTTCCATAACTGTTCATGTTTTGACACCTCATATTTCAATCTTAAAAATGAATGGGAATAAAGTACAAACGGCACTTTTTTTTTTTTACTAAGTTTTGGGTGGCCCTCTGGGAAGAATTTGCTCTAAAGAAGGTGAACTCAGCCACACACTCCACTTCTACACTTTTCTACACTTTACCATTCAGCTGCTGGATTTGTGGGACACTGAAGGCTATGTGCCAAGATATTGTGAAGAGTAACACCTTTAGCAGCACTCTGAGCGGAACTCATGAATATTTATGCACTGATTAGGTGCCTTGATTTATCCAGCTGTTACAAAAAGGAATGATGGGTTTTAAGAAGTTGAGGCACCTTCTGGGACAAAGGTATGGGACTTTTAACAAAGAACCTTCAACTCCCATAACAGGCTTTCATTTAGGAAAAATGTTGACTGTGTAGAAAACGTCCAACCTTAATCTTTGGGAGATTAGTTCAATAGTGCAGAGATAACATATTGTGCTGTGTGATCATAAATACTACAATCTATGACAATACTATTATTGCTTCTTTCTTTGAACAGAAGATTTCATTCTTCTTTTTGAAATAGTTTCTTGGTAGTCAATCTAAACACATTCACACAAAAATATCTAAATGGGGCTGAGTATATTTTTTAACTTATTTTGCGGTCGGTAGCCCTGTTGATGTTCAAAGTTTAGTTTGTAGTGTTTTGTTTCATAGTCAGCAAAAGACAAGGACAGCAAGTGTAGTGAATTATTGAAACACGAGATCTTGTAAAGGTGCAATATTTCATTTCTAAGTTAAACAGCCCTGTCTAACTTGGTGTTGTGTGAATCTATCAGGTAACTAAAGCGCTATACAAATGGAAACCATTTACCAATTACCACTTACATTTACATTGGAAAGAAATGGTTGGTCAATTAATATATTGACTAATATTATTCTTGATGGACCAGCTGAAAGAACTTGGCTACAAAGAAGCTCCATCCATTTTCAGATGTTTTATCTGGCTGCATTTTGGGTATACAGTAGAAAAGTAAAAGTGACAGAGTTACAAATGAGATACAGATCATTTATGTTTGCTGTGGGAATATTTTGGCCAATACCCAATTGCCAAATTTGCCATCTGCTTTAGAGCTTCCTGTTACAGCTAAACAAAGAGGCGATTTTGGAGTTATTTAACAATTACATGTCAGGGGGCATTGAGAAATTTAATAACCAGATCAGCATAAAAACTGCTATAGCCTATATGAAGTAGTGAGACCTGGATTGAGATAAAATACTAAAATATAGTTCCTGTCAACTCAGTATCAAATTGTTGTACTCCTAAAAATTACAGATTTCAGTTCACACTTGTTTCTTATCCCAAATAGTAGACCTGAACAATAAGCCACCAGAAATTAAAATAACTATTGCTGAATAAGATGATCAGTATTTCCTCACGTCTTTTCCTGTTTTGTGTTTCTGGGTTGTGTTGGGTATGTACCTGTGAATGTGTGGGACTCTTCCCTGAGGCTATTTACATTTTTAAATTGTGGAAATAATCCGAAGTTCTGAGAAAGAAGTAATGAAATCTATGGTTTGCCAGTTCTTCCAGTGTATGCCAACTCCAAATACGGAAGGCTCCTAACAAAAATCGAACTGGAATCTCTCAGCCTGTTAGGTGACAATGCTAACCCCAACAACACAGTGAAGACTTCAGAATAATTAGCTTAAACTTGATTTAGAAAAAAAAAAATCAGATTGTTTACTTTAAGCACTTATTTTATTTGGCTTTGAAATTGTGCTTTAGCAAATATCAAAGGTAAAATTTCTCTCATTGAACCATCAATAAGGACATTTAAGCACCAACAACTAAAATACCTCAGCTGACATTATCGGTATCCATAGAAACCCCAAAAAGTAGACAGAGAATTATAGCAAGAAGGTTTAAATGTTAGAACATTTAAAAATGAGAGTGTTAATTTATGTCACCTCTCTGTCTGAGGCAGTTTTTCTTTTTTTATTTATAGTCGCCTTCATTGAATTAGATATGCATTCATATGAGGCTGAAGTACCGTGTGAAAATGATTTGTTGCTATGCTCACATTTCTCCACTAAATGCTTTTTAATTTGTCCGATGTATTATCCTAAACATAATTCCCATGTTTTTATTCGCTGTAAGCAGAAAAAATCATAGTTATCAGAAAATAGGCTTGAAAACATTAGTCTGTTTATAATTAATCTGCACACTGTTTCACTTTGTGAAGTTGTTACTAAAATCAAATCTTTGATATTTAATTTATTGAATGACTCTATGTTGAACTAATACATGAGTGAAATAAAAACCTATGTTGCAAATAGGTTTTAAATTTATTTTCAACCATGCTTTAAAATATATTATTTTAATTTATTTTAAATTAAAATAATTTAATTTTAATAATTTTAATAATGTATTTATTAAAATGAACAAATTATTTTAATTTATTTTAATATAATGGTAATAATGTTAATAGATGAACTAGAGCCTCTTGTTTCTCTAAGTAACAGTAGCTATACATGCGTACCTGCTTTTAATGTTTTATATTTTTATTTTAAAAACCTCAGTTTAACTTTTGTTGATGGACCAAATCTAACCATTAATTGATAAATCCCTGCTCCACATACAGACAACTGTATAATTTTATAAATTAGCATGAGTATGTTGTCCAAAGTGGGAATCCAATGTATGTTCATTTTGTTTTTTATTTTAAAAATAATCTAACTTATTGTTTTTTATAACTTAATCCTGAATGTTTCTGAAACATAAACAAAAGGGTTATTTAAAAGAAGTTCCCATTTGTTTTTAGTCTCTTCTCTGTATGATTTGATCTGTGATGGAGAACAGAGACACCAACCACTTTGTAGATGATAAACAATTACAAGGGGATTAGTTATTAGATTATGTGATATTGAAACTATTTTTCAGACGTAACAATGTTTACCCTTTCGTGCTGATTGTATCATCAGTCATGGTAATCTTCAGAAGAGTGATTTAAATAATTGGACTTGAGGGCTTTTTAAGACGCCAGCTGCAGTTCTGACCTAAAGTCAATTTAAATTCATCAGATTTGGAGAAGTTTCTCTTTGTTCTAATTGTGCTCCTTGCCCTCTTATAATTGGAAGGTAATGAAAGAAACTTTAACAATAAAATGATAAAAGATTCTTTAAATAATTCATCTACTATCATTCTTTTTAATCATAGTTTTGTTCTGATAGCACTATATTTTTTTTTTCTTTTTTTAAAGAGTCGCTAGTTTTATTTTGGTATTCAGTCCAAAACAGCCTCTTGTTTTTATTCAGTGGGAGAAAAGAATTTGATTTAACTCAACAGTTGTGTCCCCATGTTGTTTTCACATTTTAAGATTAATTCTGCATGAATACAGATGCACTATAATTAGAGTCTCTGCTTGTTTTCAGCCAGATTTTGAACACAACCAGAGAAAACACCAGACAACATAAATAAAATGTCACCTTTAAAGCTGACAAAGAATAACTTGCACACGTTCAGAAGTTATGAAAGCCCCGCTGTTCACCTTAACGTGCAACTTACTCTGAAAGGAACACTTTCAACTTCCGTTTTGTTCTTCATTCAAGTCGCCCTTCCCTCCTGATCATTTGAGTGACGGCTGAGATTAAGCACTCTTTGAACTCTATCTAGTTATTTGGAAGAGCTGTCTAAATTGAGGCAGTGTTATTTCATGCTGTCTTGCTGAGTCAGTTGGAAAGTGGGAGCAGGGGGTGGCACTTCTCTGAATGAATAAAGAGCTGTTAGGAAGGAAAGGTGTGCAGACAAATTTCAAATGCATTATACAGCTATAATGAGAATTGTAAAGGAAAGAGGATAAAATTTAGATTAAAACTGTTGTGAACAGCAACTTTGCTGTCATTTAATCCCTTATATGAAAAACATGATCTTGAAACTTAGTTTTTCCTGCTAAGGGATTTGCTGAATATGAGAAAAGTACTTATTTTAACTCTCATATCAAAAAGTATAAGCCAAGCGGATGACTTTCCGAATGGAAATATATTGGCATAATTAAAAGAAATGCAACACATTATTCATACAATAAAATATTATTATTTGGTGTCATATGAATTTGTCGAAAGCCTTTTTATTTCAATTTAGTGATTAAAAAATGTTCTGTGCCAGTAAACCTGTAAAATATTGCTGCCAAGATTTTTAGAGGGTCAGGGTTTATGAGCCTGACAACAAAAATCTGTTTTCTCACAGTGTTTGCTCTCAAAAACAGATGCATCTGTCATGTCTCTCTGTATGAATTTTCCCATTTGTTTGTTTCTAAACAGGAGAAGTTGGGAATACAAATGAAAACTCCAAGAGAAATAACACAATGAATTCATATTATATTTGATAAAAAAAATAAAAATAAAAAAAAGCATTGCACAACATGTGAACAAACCTTTTTGGATCCAAAATTATATCTAAAAAAACTTTTTATGTCTTCCCTGGTAAAGTTCTAAAGACGTCTTCAAAATAAATTACAAATGAAAGAAAAATGCCAACATGTGAATTTAAATTGCGTTGATTCCTCAGTGGGGAATAAATCTCATGTTAGGAAACATTTGTCACAGAGTTCTCCGGTTGTCAAAGTGTTCGGAAGAGAACAAAGCATCACAGAACTTTCACCATGATTAACAGTGAACACGAGGTCCTTATATTCATCTTGCCATACCAGATGCACAAAAAGGCACCAAAAGGTTTAGCTTAGTTTCATCCCAGTAGAGTTTAAGTTTGTGACAGGATGGCAGAATTACTTTGTGGCATATCTCCCAGGCAACTGATCGAAATTTAAATGGCCTTTAATGACACCTTGTGACTCAGTCAAAACAGCTATGATATGTTAGACATTTAAATGAACTCTGTCAAAGACATAAAATTGTTTTTCTCAGTGAATTTGTGATGATGCATAAATACTTTTGAGCAAAAATGCATTATAGATAACATTACATGCAAATAATATTTCTAGATTATTTGAAATGGGATAAATGAAAATATTCTCCATGAGAACATGACAATTAAAATGTCCTCAATTTCCAATTACAATCTTAAAAAATGCAGTTGCTTCCATTATAGTAATGTAAAATGAAGGATTCATGATGTTAATGCTGCCCTGTCTGCAAGTAGGAGTTTCCTCTTGGTCAGAAACAGCAGAGCAGACTGAAGCGAACATCTGATCAAGTACCTGTGAAACAAACCCTCCATTTTCATCCCTACAGTGGAGTTGAGCCTGGAGAGCCAGAGCCAAGCAGGCACATCGCAGACATATGTTTCTGTCAGACAGTGTTAGGGTTGATTCACGTGGAACACAGATGCCATTAGAAATAGATGTCAAAACAGTCCTGGATGAATCGGTCCAGGCTGCAGCAATCTGGTGACTTCCATCCATCACTGACCTCTGAAAATCAGGGGCAGCTCCGATACACTGTACGCTTCACTTCATATCTCCAGGCACATATCTGGAGAACTAAATGTTACTTTTTGCACCTAAATGTAATTTTATTTTTCCTCCTCCATCTAAGTTGCAGAGTTCTGGTTAAATATTGTTTTCGGGTTGAACCTCTTCGCTCAGCAGATACAAGCAAAAATAATGTTTTTTTATCCTCCCAATTAAACTTGCCACATTTTATTGGCAGAGTTTATAAGAACCAATTAAAACAAATATGACAGTGTTTGTATGACCTTGAATTGTAGCTATTTGTATTTGAATAATTTGAAATATATATTTAGGATAAAACACATTAAAAGTCATGATTTTTATTACTCTGATGTTACTTTGCTTTCTTAGATAACGATACATAAAGCAAAACTAAATATTTGGGGGGCGGGGACGACGACATGGAGGTGTTGTAAAAATAACAATTGGGAGAAAATAATGAAGAGGAAAATCAAAAATGGCTGCAGCTTTATGCTGTTTTCACTCTGTATAAAACTAGCTTAATCTGCATGGATGCTTGGATTCCCTTTCATTAGACGGAAATATGTCTGCAGGTTTCTCAGAAAATTTGCTGTGAGTCAATTCAATGATTTGCTACAACACCACCTGCTTTGTCTAATCAGAAAAAAATGACTTTTCATATTTAGAGTACCTGTGCATCCTTTAAAATGAGACCTTGGATGACTGGTTGTATTTGTGATCAACTAAAATGTGTTTGAATATAGATTTTAACAACCAATGTTTAAGTTTTGGACAGAATAAATACAATACCCTTTATTAAACAGACCTATTTAAGTTATTTTGCCACTTTTTAAAAAACGTATTTATACCTTCGTCTTACAGCAGTGCTGATTCTTAGTCCTCCAGGACATAACGATGTAACTGCCTGGGTAAAAGGTAACTGCTCTTCTCTTCTTTTTTTTTTTTTTTGAAGGAACTTAATCTTTCATCCAAATGGCCTCTTTAGTTTTTCATCTTGTCTCTAAATGTTGCTATTATATTCCAATTATCAGAAACAAGAAAAGTGCATTTTATTGATTGTAGATAGAAAACTGTCCAGTTTGATGGTCTTTTTTGTCCAACCATCTTCAACGACAACATGACAAATATTTACAAGGAAGCCTGGTTCATCCACAGAGGGAGAATATATCTAAGTTTTAAATGCAAATTCATATGCCAAAGTTGGATTCAGATAAATTAGTCAAAGTTGTTAGTCAAAATGTTGAAATGTGTCTGCAAACTTTTCAAAAAATAAACCATCAAAGATTTTAAGGAAGAGCAGGATTATTTTGCAATCAAGTCTTTGCTTGTGTTGAATTCCAAACAAGGTCTGAAGAGGAAACACGCAAATAATTATTTTATGAAAAACTTGTTTTGATAGCATGACATGTTTTTCAAATCTGAGCCCTTCATATCCATCTGATGGTTCTGTTTTCCTTTTAAGTGGAGGACTTGGACCTCTTTCCTACATTGATTATGTCTGTATTTATATTCATCAACAAAAGGTGATTTACTTTTGGATAAAATAACTAAATTAATTCAGAAATATTCAAACAGGACAAAGTGGAAAACACAACTGCCAAATGGTTTTCCACAGTTAAGCAGTAGTAATAATGGAAAGGCAGTAACTGAGCATATTAGGAGGATTTATAGAGATTTGACAGGTAGAAAACAATAGAAGATGAACCACAAATATGTGAGATTACTAGTGTACAGAGCTGTAGACAGATGCAGAAGGACTACCTGAATGGACCACTGAGATTAGTATGTCTCCTTTTTTTTGTATCATTTTTAGGGACCTGTTGTAATACAAGAACATATTTCTTAGAAAAAAATTGGGAATTGAAATAAGTACCATGTGGCGGCTTGCTGTTTTGACATATTTTGATAGATCTGTTGTGACTTTCCCCCATTCTGTTTTACAAATGATTGTTGGATGGAGTGAGACATGGATTGATGGACTGGGGACTTGTCTGCAGTAACGTGAGCGTTGCTCCTGTTTGTTACAGTGAAAAAGGAGCTATGTCAAAATGTGAAGCTCTGGATTACCAGGTTAAGTTTAAACTCTCACCTGTGGTTTTGAAATATGGATCATGACCAAAAGAACAAAATCCCAGATACAAGAAAACATAAGTTTCAGACAGATTAGGATTCTGATAATTCACAAACCATAATCAATGCTGAGGATAATAGTCTTCAGAAATTAAACTGTTATCAATTATTTTGTTGGAAAAAATTATTTCAAATGTGCATTGAATGTAGCCAAACACCAATAATTTGGAAAACTTCTAACATCATACCTATTCCTAGTTCACAAAAGCCTAAGAAACTAAGCGACTTTAAACTAATGGCACCCATATCTGAGGTTATGAAGGCTTTTGAAAAGATAAAGAACCTGAACAGATGTAAAGCTAATATTTGCTTACTGAGCTGGTAAACGTTCAGAAGCTGCAAAATCTTGATGCATCTTATTTCAAATTACCAGTCCAGCTTTACTGTTGCTTTTAGATTTTCTTAGCAGCAGAGTCCAGCAGGTTTATGCAAATTGACATATGTCTACCTCCAGGCTTTCAGGTTCAGGCTCACCACAAGCTTATGCCCATTCCCCATTACTCTTTAGAATGTGTACAGATGGTTGCAAAACACTTCAGGATAGCAGCTATATTGAAAAGTTTTCTGATGACCCTGCACTCCTCTCCCTTCTTTGGCCTTCGGAAACAGGCCATGGTGTGGCGTTTGTTAAACGGATCACAATAACTTCAT